TGCTGCCAGCCCGGAGCGGGACGGGGATGGGGCTGACTTCGGATCCCGCCTCTCCCTTGTCACAGCCCCGTGCGCTGAGGTGGTGCCCGGAGCCGGCGCTGCCCCGCGCTGCGCTCCCGGACGAGCCCGCCCGCGGCGCACAACTTCGGCCCCGGGGGTGCCCGCAGCAACACGGCTACAGGCGGCGGGGCCGGGAGGAACCCTCGTGGGGCCTGCGGGCGCCTCGGCCGTGGGAGGGGGGAGAAAGAGAACCCCTTCCAGGCGACACAGGGCTGGCAGTGGCCTTCCTAAGCTTTTCATCGCCACGGAGGACGCGGGAGTGTTGCAATTATTCATAAATCAACTTCGGCCCCGGGGGTGCCCGCAGCAACACGGCTACAGGCGGCGGGGCCGGGAGGAACCCTCGTGGGGCCTGCGGGCGCCTCGGCCGTGGGAGGGGGGAGAAAGAGAACCCCTTCCAGGCGACACAGGGCTGGCAGTGGCCTTCCTAAGCTTTTCATCGCCACGGAGGACGCGGGAGTGTTGCAATTATTCATAAATATATATTTACCAATGGATCTGCTCTATGGATATGTATAGAATACACATCCATATGCACACACAGACACGTCTATATCCATACGGACACATATAAGATGTGTGCATCTTCTCAATGAATAATTGCAACAGTTCCCTTCCCACCAGCGCTGGAAGCTCTAGCATTAATATTCCTTCCCCCACTTGCCCCTTGGCACAGTCTAATTGAAATCCAGAGAAGGGAAAAGCCTGCCCTTTAAACCCAGCTCAGGATGCAGGCAGCTGGGGAAAACGCATTTCGCCTTTCTCCCCCCCAGCGTGCCTACTTTCTGGTGTGCTGCCTTTTAAATTGTGTTGCCTTCTTTCTGGAACGGGTTTCCCTCTGATAGGAGGCAGACCAGTGCTGTTATTTTATGGTTAGGTTGGATTTTCTATTGTGAGGGCACCATGTTTTTTTGATCATGGCAACAGGATTATCTTTTCATTCTTAATAGGGGAAAAAAATAAATGCCACTGAGTTTAACATTTCTGCCTTTTCCTGGTTTGTTTTAAATCAGCCCATTTATTTCTCCCTTCAAAGTGGCAGCCAGGGCAAGAATCAAATGTTTCAACACCGGGCCAATGTTTAGTAAACAGCTGGACAAGCACTTTCTGGATAAAATAGTTCTTCCTAATTTATATATAGGCTTTTATCTGCCAAATTAAAGGATCCAATCTGAAGTAAGAACTGGCTAAAGACTTCGAATTTTCTTCGTGTCAGAAAATTGATTACTTTGACAGAAATGTTTTCCCATTCTCCCACCAATTTCATTCCCAATGTTTAAATTGTATGTCATATAAAAAAAGATCAGTCTGTGATCGAAGGATGCGCACCTGCACCATATGCTTCAGTGCACCTGAACTCCGTTTGATCTGGCTGACTTACATCACTGACTTCTCATGAATTGTACTGCCTTGGCAAATTCACAAGACAGATTAGTGTATGTGTGCCATTAATCAGATCAGAGTAGCAATAAGACTAAAAGTTTCTAATATATTTTTTTTACTCCTTACCTATAAACAAGATTTGTGACTAGCTACTTTTCCTAGACAGATGGTTCTCCTGGTGGCAAAATAAAAGCCAGATCTATTATCAGGCACCACAGATTTTGGACCTGACCTGTTCATTTAATAACATGCCATATAGATTTTAAATATCTCATTTCTGTACAATGTTTCAAATTCTGAAGTTTCTGTGATTTTACAGGGAGGTTCAAGCCTACATCATTGCCTATCAAGTTAAGTTAAATTGTTTAGATTAACATTCAAGGAATATGCTGCAAAATATTTTCTCTGGGACACACAAAAGTTTGCCGTTTACTCTGCTGGCATTGGTAGATGTATAAAAAGGTGACACAGCTAAAATAAAAAAAGCCATGAATTCCACAGCAAGATTTTTAGTTGAATCTTTTGTTCATGATAGGATACTAATCTATGTCCCACCTCATGGTATGCCCTGGCACAGTCACTATTATCTGTACTGTTCTGTTCATTTCGCCCTCTTACGTATTTGTCTCTTTCTAGTCTTCATTTTATTCTTTAATTGGACTTTCATGGTGTTTCCCCCCACCCCTTTTCCTGTTGGTTCTGGTTTCATAAGTAATAGTTCGTTCCTTCCTTCATACTTTCCCCCATTCCCACCTCTCCCTTTTCATGTTGCTCTGAATGGTGGTCAGAAACCCACCAGCAATTACATAAGGCTACAATAGGGTGGAGTCAAAAAAAAAAAAAAAAAGCTGAAAAAAGAAAAATAAGAATGTCCTGACAGTTCAGTAATTTTCTTCTGTTCATGCAAGCTTCTTCCAGAATCAAATACTTGAGAGGCTGCCATGAAGCAGGGAAGATTTCAAATAAAGAGCAGCTGATTTACTTGAGGCTGAAAGAGCATTTTTGCTTTTGGGAACAAGAGTGTTTTCCACACCCTGCTGATCCTCTGTTTTGCCCTGTGCGTCCCCAGACTAGTGAAGTAGGACACACAGCCGTTACATAATCATGGTACATACCCAATACCCAGTACTCTATGTAATCAGAGTACATACCCATTGGCTGCAGCAAAAGCATATTGTTAACAAATTCAGTCAAGCTCATGCAGCTAATGGTACTTTTATTCGCTCCATAAAAATAGAATTGGCTTGGCTGGATCACTGTGTTCTGAACTCGACTGGTTGCTTTAGCATATCTTGAACAAAAACTGAGAGAAAGGTCAATCATACCCAACAGTAGGCCTATGCAAAGCAGCAAGTATTTGCTTTGGATTCGGCCGATTCTGTGGGACAGTGATTCGATTCAGTGATTTGAATCACTGTCCCAGTTTGATTTGGCTGATTCGTATTCAGAGATTTGCTGGAGATTCAGCCATAGTCTATACAGGCAGTCCTCGGTGACGCTGGACACAGCTGCCTCCAGCTGGTAAGTCTGCTATGGTAGGAGGAGGGGGGAGGAAAGGGGAAGGCGGGGCAGATCAATGTCCCCACAGCGAGGGAGAGATTGGGGCTAGGACAAGCTGCCCAGCTGGGGTAGGAGGAGGACGCAGGACTCGGGGAGGGGGGCTCCCGCCACTGCGCGCCACCCCACACCGCCAGTCTGGGAGCTGCTTTTCTGGTTGCTCCTCTGGCGGCTCTTGCCACCTGTCCAGGAGGGCATGGGAACAAGCATGTGGCCCCAGATCTGCACGGGGCAGGCTGGGCCAGGCTGCACTCAGGAAGGCTAGCCCCAGCTGCCCATCACCGGGCTGCTCTCCACAGGGCAGGCGGAGCCAAGGCTGCACTCCGGGCTGGGGCTAGCCTCCCAGAGAATAGCCCTGGCTCTGCCCACCCAACAGAGCACAGCCCAGCAGTGGGGGCTTGTCACCTAGAGTGCAGCCTTGGCTCCACCTGCCCCGCGGAGCGCAGCCCAGCAGCGGTGGCTTGCTGCCCAGAGCGCAGCCCTGGCTCCACAGTGGGTGACTGGGGCTAGCCTGCCTCGCAGAGCACAGCCCCGGCTCCAGCAGCAGGCAGCTGGGGCTAGCCTCCTGGAGCACAACCCGGCCTAGCCGACCCTGGGCAGATTTGGGGCCACACACCCGCTCCCATGCCCTCCCAGACCGGCGGCAAGAGCTGGTAGTCCTATGCCCCCACACCCCAGCTGGGCCCCAGCCCCAATCCCTCCCTTGCTGTGGGGGCATTGATCTGCCCTCCCCCGCCACACCCCTTCCTTCCCCCCTCCACCCACAACACACTTACCAGCTGGAGGCAGCTGTTTCCAGCGTCTTAAAGTTGAAAACCCGTCGAAACCTGGAACCCTGT